AAAACATGGGTATCATGTCCACACCAGTTCTAGGATCCACCATACGAATGTGAAACATTCCTCCAATAGAGAAGAGCCACTGCTAATTTTATACACATTCTGCTGACAGGCAATCTTCTGAACAGAGTGTAGTCATTCGCCATTGTTGCATCTCAATATGGAACGGCGAAAGCTCACTGTCAAGAATATTGTCTGTCCTAACATGACTACTTAGCCCTATGAATATCTAGTAGCAGCAAGGGTAGAATAACACATTAATAGGAAAGAAAGAGAACAATAAGGAAAAAAATATTTGGAACCAGGACGAGTATGTTAGGGTGCAATAGCAGTAGTTAACATAAATGTTGCTAGCAATTGCATGGAGTGCTGATTGTCAAACCAAATAGCCATAAACATTGACATCCACCTTGAGGATTGGAAAAACTATGCATCCAAGAGGTTAACCAAATTTAATCTGGGAAGGTTTGATTTTGTAGACCACGCAGTGTGGATATACTGCACTAGCATCAGGTGGTCCCTGGTGCTAAATCCTAAACATTCAAACATATGAATCCATTATATCTATGAGACTATGATGAGGAATGAGGTCACACGTGAATTACAATTTCTGCAGGTATGATAAAACTTTAAAATGGACATTTATATTCAATTAAAGTATCTTACAACTTTTCAACATCATCTTAACAAACTAAGTTAAATAAGTGTTACCTTCTTTACATTATTTCCCTGAAACCCACTGTCAGAGATATTTGATCCTCACAAGAGGTAGCTTCTCTTGTTCGATACAAGTGTCTTGGTCTGTAGGTGGAAACAAAACTATGTCAAATTGAAGTTACAGATAAAACATTAGAATAATTTATCTTCTGCAGTGCATAATTAGAAAGGGGAGACAGAAGAGTGGCTAAGTTAATTCATGCATGAAACCACTCCTATGGATTTTATCATATTGTTCTGTGGGCCTTGCAAGAAAGTGTGGTTTCAGCTCAAAGCTGCTAGAAGCTTATTAAGAAGTCAATAGAGAGCACAGCCAGAGGGATCTTATTTGAAGCTAAAGCTCTTTTTACACTGAAAATTTGACCTCCTTGAAGAAGTTCCTGTGAGAGTTGAAAAACAAATTCTAGAAGGAGCTAAGCATTTTTTGCAATGGGGCTTTTTAGATCAACACAGGTTAATCAAATCATTTACGTAAATGAAGTAATGACTATTGAAGTTAGGCAGCAAAGTTAACATAAACTAATCCACCAACTTTCTGCTACGGCGCAACAAGCATCATGAGGCAATAGCACAGTAGGGGGAAACAGTGCAAATGACAAAGACAAAGAAGTGGAGAGAGGAATGAGGTTTGCTATGATTCCGCATTGAAAACATTTGTAAATAGCCGAGAATGTCGAAACCTCCCCTTTTCACACCAACTGGTCCCCCCACATATCAGACACAAGTGCAATTATGATAGGTATTAACTGCCCAGCTTCTGGAAGCTCCTGGATATGTAAGGGAATAGGCAAAAATTAATTAAGAAATGAAACAACTTCACATACTAGAGTCAAGTATTGATTCATTTACATATGAGGAAATAGAGCACACACATTCTGGAACAAAGCATTTGCAGCGTTACAGAGCAACCTCAGAATGAAATATATCTTTTAAGTAATGTATACACTAACGCACCATGAAAAACTGGATAATAGATACCTTAGCTTGAACAAGTGCTTGCATTGATGTGTTGATGGGCAACCGTCACAGCAAATGAACTCACCTACATCTCCACAGAAACCACAGGTGTCCATCCAGCACCATCTATTGCCTCAACTTTTCACACCATGCACATGCTTCTCCTGCTCATAAATTCAGCAGTTGAAAGCCTCAACCTGGCACAAAGTGTAAGACTTGCCAGACTCTAGAAGAGGTCCAATGAGGACTGTGGGTGACTACAACCAGCATGAGCCATGAAGCCAGACACGGATAAGGTATTTTTTGCAGCAATTGCAAACAACACCTTCCCAGGTAACCAGCCCATCCTTTATAACTTCAATGACTTTTGATCCCGGTACTGTATCACATCTTTTACGGTCAGAAAGCCAGTTGCAAGCAACCAGCAGATTACAGTTTTTCGGGCCAAACTTACTCTCTTCCACCCAATAGGTTCGCGCTACCAGCTTCCCCGATTTTGGAAATGAGCTTGTTGATTCTTTTTGTGGCTCTTCAGCTTCTTGAACTTCTTTGCCGCTGAAAAGCTACAAGCAAATTCTATGGCAGGTGTCAAGATCCTTGTTTTTCACTATAGCTGTGATCAAAAGGTCCTCATCATTGATTCGCAACTCACGAGGTCTTTTCTTCATGTACTTCAACCAACCCTTTGGTTTCATTTTGGCAGTGCTCTCTTGCAGATTTGTGAGTCACATGTTAGATAAGTTCCCAGAACATCAGCACTAGATTCATGGGATAACTCAACAGGTACAGTATTTCCTGTTGGATCACTTTGTGAATCCTCATAAAATTCTCCATGGGATGGGGAGTATCTTTTTCCAGACCTTGTCATCATGGCAGAACGCTGTGGCATCTGACTGTGACTCCCTTGTAGTACACAGTGGGTTTCTGGGAATGTATTGTAATCCTGTAAGTTGCTTGCTCACTGAAGAGAAGAGCATGTCACCCTTCCTGCTTTAATCATCTTTATCTAGCTTTTCTGATTTTGTTTCAGCCTTCATATCGCCTTTTAGTGTGCCAAAACCTGAACGCATACCGTGTTCCTCAAAGGCATTGGTGTTCCCTGGGTCAGCCATGCCCATGGTTGGTACATTGGTCCCATCCAGTCCAGCTGAGCTAATATCAAATGTCCTTTTCGATTTCTTCCTTGACTTTTTTACAGAGCTATTAAGAGCATTTGGTTGACCATGAGTTTGCCTTCCATCATCACTTGCATCGATGTGATGTTTTGCCTGGTCACTTGCATCAATGTGATGTTTTTGTCTGGTCACTTGCATCGTAATTCAGACTCTCGTTGCAGGAAAGCTTTGGGTTCAGATCCCTATCGTTTGCTGTCTTCCACATCATGACAGCTCTGTAAAGACTGATGCCCGCTTGTAGCTCTCAGTTGTAAGCGTGCTGCAATCAGAGTCTGTGATCAGTGGAGTCAACTGGATCATTCGGCTTGCCAAAAAGCTCACTGGCTTTGTGCATGGTCTTACTTTCCAATGACATATCTGAGCTGCCATCAAGAACAAAGGTTGAACTGTTGTCGACAGCTCTAAGAGTTTTATGTTGCTGCAGAGCAGTGATTTTTCCTACTGATGAACACAACAGCTACAAAAGGGTCCAAAATCTGCCAGCGCTGAAGAAGCGTTAGTGCATTTTGCTGGTTCGCAAGCATCCTATCAACATAGGCCATTGTATCTGTGAGATCCTTCCAAAACGCATCAACATCTGACCACCTTTGGATACCTTCCCTTTCTGAATCTGGGGAAGCTTCATATAACTTGTTGCCACAAAATCAAGCCTGGGTTAGTGAGGTATGAACCGCTTCCCTGTTTGGAGCTGTGAAGTAGGATGCCATCTTAGCCCTGTCATTCCTTTTCCGTGGCTTAATAGTCCATCCAGCGCCCTTGAAAAGACGATGTGCATGTGCTTCCAGCTGGTCAGAATATCCCTGCCCAGTGCCTTCTTGGAAACAGCAGCTGCCGAGCCAGAGTGTACTGCGCTGCCGCCCATGAACATCAATTTCATCCAGGCAACTAATATTCGCATCAGGGGTGCCGTTCTGGCAAATGGCGCCATCGAGCTGGGTGAACTGACCAGGGCTGAACCAAAACTGGGACTGATGAGGTATTGTCGGAGTACTATGAGCTTCTTCACTATAAAACAGATGCTGCTCTACTCCCCCTCTTTCAGAGAAATCCTTTTGTACTTGCACATAGGGGATAAGTGGTGTCATCCATCTGGCCTTGATCATAAGCGAAGCACGCATTGCTAGGGAATTGCTGCTGATCCTGGAGCCACTGATGCAAAAAGGGATCTGAAAGGAGGTGGCACTCTGGAATTCAGAAATCTCCGCTAGTGCTTCTATGTAGGAAGGCATGGGGTCATCGATCGACGCTAGTGCTGCTGCTGCAGCCCAGCCCGAGCAGCTGTTGTACATCCCAGCTCCAGCATCTTGCGTGTGCACATCCAAAATGCTGTGAGCAGCATCTGCGCCGACGAATTGGTTTTGGTCATCGGGAGGCCGAATTGGTGTTGGTCATCGGAGAGGCCGAGCAGATGAGTGGCACACTTATCCCAGGCTGCCAGGAACCCATGAATCCCTGCAAAACGCAGCTGCATCCAGGTCGGCCCCGTTCTGCTGCGCTCGAGGGTGCGCGTGCTCCTGGACCTGGAGATGAAGGTCGTGGTGAGGCCCATTGTTTGGCTGACTACTATGATCCATTCTGGGGTGTGGATCAGCAGTGGCAGCGGCAGGCTGGTGCTGGTGCTGGTGCTGCGCATGGGAGGCAAATGGAGAGGGCGAGGTCTCCGTGGCCTTGAGGTGGGCGGGGGGCGGTGGTGTGGACGAATCCAAGGTCCATCTCGGCGGGCAGATGGGTGGTGGCGGCGTTGTCGGCGGCCCCCGCAGAAGACCTCCTTGAAAACCCTGAAGCTCAAGAGCGATCTGTCGAAGGCGGCGTGGTCCTCCATTCCCATGATGTCCTCGCCGAAGATGAAGCGCATGGCGTCGTCCTCCTTGAAGCCCAGCATGTCGTCCGCGTGGCCTCCCGCGGCGACCATGCTAGTGGTAGTGGTAGCTAGCAGCAGCTAGGGGTAGGGACTAGCGAGCCTGCAGAGTTGAATTGGAGAGCGGAGTGAGCAGCTAAAGCTTGGTCGGTGACCCCGCGGGGGAAGAAGAATGTGAGATCCAGCCATTCCAGGCAAGTGGTCTGTACCTGAGCGAAATGGGCGGTCGGCGGTCGGGTCGGGGAGGCAGCGGGAGCAGAATTAGGCGGTCGGATCCAGAGGGCAGCAGCTGAGTCTCGAGTGGCCTGCGTTGGATCGAGAGAATAGTGGTGGGGGAGGAGCAGGCGGAGCAAATCGGGGCGAGATCTGGAGGCGAGCGAAGAGGGGAAGAGTCGTGCTGCCTCTGCCTTCCTGTTGAGGTTTGGGCGCCCGCCCAGCGCGGAGAAGCGAGGGCCGGGGAAGGCGGCTTGGCTTGGCTTGCTTGGTAGCTGAGCGCCGGCGGCGGGCGGGCGTCTGGGTGGGAGTGAAGCGAAAGCAAGCAAGCAACGGCGGCCTGCAGTGGAGCTGGGGACTGGGGAGAGAAGAAAGAGGTCAAGAGAGAGCTCGCTTCCTTCCTTCCCTTCCTAGGCAAGGCAAGGGGCAAGGCAAGGCTTGCGGCAAGTTGGGTGGGTTCCCTGCGTTCCTCTTGTTTCGTGATGAGTGATGCCGATGATGCGAAGGATGACAGGCAGGCAGGACACACATGACATGGAATAGAATAGCCAACCCTGATCCAAACGCCAGAAGGAGGAGGGCGCGGCTCTTGCTCGTTTGAAACATTTTGCCTCAAAACCAAACACCCAAATTGCAACGCTACGCCTACGCTGCCCATAGATAAATGTTAATTATAAATGTTAATTCTATCAAAAAGAAATTTAAAATGTATAAATGTTAAAAAATAAAAAAAGATAAAAAAAAAAAATAAAGAAAAATTAAAAAACTAAATAGAAGCGAGGAAATGAAACAAAAATAAAAAAGAAAAATAAAGGAAATAAAAAATAATAAAAGCAAAATAAAAAGAGTAAAAGAATAAAGAAAATGAAAAGAATGACACAAGTCCGGAAAAAAGAAAAAGAAAAATATATGAATGAAAGGAAAGAAAAAATAAAAGGAAAACGTACAATGAAAATAAAATGAAATGAAAATAAAAGACCATCAAAAATCGCGTATGGGCCAAGTGGGCCGTGGGCCGTGCTCGCACTGCTGAATCGCGTATGGGCCAAAATCGTATAATCGCGTAGATGCGCTCATGGGGGTCGGCAGCGATGGTTTACTCGTGTCACGGTAAAGCTCGTTGAATGAAAATTGGCCTTCAAATGGCGTTATTAACGAGTCTAGGGACCTGAATGTATAGTTTGATACTTTCTATAATAGGGTTTGATACTTGTCTGAGCCCAATAATAAACAAACTCCTATAGTCCTAGACAAGGAATTAACGCATGGGATGGGAAGCCCAATGGGTGGGTGGGTGGGTGGTGCAGCCCAGCTGAAGTAGAAATTTGCTCGCGAGAGAAAGAGGTGCTAGATTGGGCCCAGTGCTATTGCAGTGGGCCGGAATTTGGATTTAGGCTGGCAGGCAGGCCGTGGGGCTTTTTTGCTTTGTTTTCCCAGGCAGCGAGTGGGCTACCATTATTAAGTAGGAGGGAGGGATATAGGAGGAAATGGCACATGGTCGGCCCAGTAATTTGGATTGGATTGTCCTATTTATATTTATTATTTCTAATCTGCTTGCTGATTGTCCTGAGGGGCAGGTAGCCCTACCCCTACGTACTACCTGAATAATTGCTCTGCTTTGCTGTGCTGCAGGTAAACACATCCGTCGGAAGTGGTTGGATGGATGGCATTCGCTCCCTACTACAGTAGTATTTCCCTTCCCTGCTTGCAAGTTACAACTGAACTGATAGATGGGGAGCCATGACCATCATAACTGGTCAGGTCAGCAGTCTCTGTCTCTGTGGGGTCCCAGTGGTCCCCACCACCATGTGCACCTACTACCCACCCTGTCCCTGTGGCCTGTGGGCTGTGGGTGGTGTGTGCTACAAAGCCAGCCAGGAGGGAAGCCTAGCCTTAGCCTGCATCTGTAATTCTGCATTGCATGATTGATGATTGGGAATCAGCCCCACGGAGAGAACAGAGGAGTAAAGGATGGTATGGAAGCTTCCGAATCATTACAGGCTTGTTGCTTGCTTGCTTCAGATATATGGATTGGACCAGGACCATACTACCGAGAGAGAGAAGCAGTGACCAAAGCAAGTGCAAAAGTACTCCTATATGATTTTTTTTAGCAGAAAGTACTCCTATATATATATATATATGTATATGCTGAGTAGTACAGTATATACTGTGGTCCAAAACTCAAAGTAGAGTAATCGGTCCGGTCCCAACAGCAGCACGGGCAGGCCCACTGTTGGTCCATCGATACCAAAGCCGAAGACTCCAGTGAGGCGAGGCGGTGTGTGTGAGTGTGACCCTACCATCCATCGTACCACCAGCTTCTGCTGTCCGTTCCGCTAAATAAACCAATTGGCTTCATCATTCTTCTTCCCGCCTCCCCTTTCCTTTCCTTCAAGGTCGTACGAGCGAGCAGCTGGTGACATTAATGCATAGAAGATGACTGGAATGAATGACAATAATAATAATACAAGTGGCTGGTCCATGAGAAAACACCACCTACAAGTCAGATTACTAGCTTACTACTACTTTATAAGCATGTCTATCTCACTCATATTTCATAAACTGCTGCCGCAGATTTACTTCTGGATTAAGTTAAACTATTTTTAGGTTTGACTAGGTTTACATAAAGTAGTATCAACAATTATATATAAAATTCTAAATAGGTATATTATGAAAAAATACACTCCATATATATATTACTAGAATCTAATTATAATTATTTATATCATAAATAGTTGTTATTATTATTAAGAACCACACGCGTACTAACCTGGTGCAAATTTATTCATTATATATGACCAGTATACTGTACATTACTAAGCAGGTAGCCAGCAGCATTTAGAAATTAAGGGCGTCACGTGTTGAATTGTCTTATGGAACGTACTTTTTTAATGAAGAAACAGTCGCTCTGTTCGGCTGATATTAAAGCCGGTTGATAAACCGACTGAAGCTGTTTTGTTGTGAGAGAAAAATACTGTAGATTCTATCTGATAAGTTTAAGGCCTTGTTTAGTTACCCAAAATTCCAGAATTTGGCACAATGCAAAAAGAAGATTCCCCGTCACATCAAATTTGTGGTATATGTATGGAGTACTATATGTTGACGAAATCAAAAACTAATTGCACAGTTTAGTTGTACTTTACGAGACGAACGTTTTGAGCCTAATTAGTCAACAATTAGACAATTATTACCAAATAAAAACAAAACGCTACAGTAGCTACAGTGACGCACCGAATCCGGCGGCGCCGATTCGGTGGCCAAACTAAACGCGGCCCAAGCGAAGGCCGCCCTTGCTTTGCATCGTTTTGTCCTATCAATTGTATCCTGCACAGTGCCTTGTACATGATGAATTAATAATAAAGCTGGATTGTGGAAGCCTGAGGGTTCAATGTACTGAACCAATCAAGTCCATGCATGCATGGCCTATCAATAAATTATTATAGTATGTTTTAGGGGATTAAATTAAATTATTATAGTCGGTCCGCATGTTGGTACATGATATTGGTAATAATTAAATAGTTTTATAAATTATACTGTTTGCCTTTTTTTCTAAACACGCAAGGTTTGATTATTGTGAGTTAAATCCCTGTTTTCAAACACGCAAGGCTTGTGATTGTGAGTTAAATCCCGCAGCTGCGTGCATGAAAACACACATGACTTGTGGACTTCTCTCATGTTCAAAAATGCTATTTTAAGATCCAATTTGCAAAAATTATGTAAAATGATTTATAGAAGCAGTTAGATTTAGGTCCGCTTCTAAAATCGATTTCTAAGGGTGCATGGATAACTGAGTAGAGGTAGGCAGGACAGCAGCCTCTACAAATCTATTTTGATCATCTCTATAAATATTTTCTATAGTAGTGGTAGCTTAATACTCCATCCGTTTCAAAATATAAGTACGCTTTGAATTTTTTACATCCACTTTGCTATGCATCTAGATATAATAATATGTCTAGATACATAACAAAATGGATGAACAAAAAAAGTCAAATCGACTTATAATTGGAACATAAGAATAATATTTATCTTTTTTAGAGCAACTATGTC